TTATAATTATATTTATCTTCCACTTAAAAATGGTTTACACTCCTATTTCTTGTTTCAGTTGGTATAATTGCTCACTAATTGCACTTTCAAGATAGAATTTGGTTGATGAATTCTCTCAACCATGTCTGATATAGTTTGCAAAAATCCTAATATAGGTCACATCTGATGAAAATTAGACTTCTGATTGATTTTTCATTATCATTTTATATTTTACAGTTCCTAAGGGCGATTAAGATAGAATAGAAGAAATAAAAGGAATAGGTAGGTAGAAAGGAGACATAAAGGAAGGATGAGGAAATATAATTTTAATTTAAAGTCCCTCATACTTTTCCAGTCATGTCATTCTCCAGATTAGTTCTTCTCCATGGCTTGTCACTCCCAAATTTCTGGGAAATCTATAATTCTTAGAATTACTGTAAGTTCATATACTTGTGAAAATTTGTGTAGCGTTAATTGCCTACCAATAAGCAGAATAAACAAAAAGAGGTATGATATTTTAAGAAAATTATAATTGAGGGGCCTTTCTAGTATTATCAACTGATCAAATAATGAAAATTAATCACATCACCCTAAGAATCCTGAGAATGACTAGACCATCATAAACCATCCTGTGACCACCAGATTGATGTCATCCCTACATACCTTCCCATCCTCAACCCTCACCAAGTTTGTTTTGGAAGAAGAATGAGTATCTGCTTTCCTAAATAAATCTCTATTTGTTTCTGACTGGAGCAAACTGAAATTCTTTTCTATTCCACACCAACCACCCCACTTGTCCTGAGTTGAATCTCCCCACTCCAGCAACTCCTCGGACCATTTTCCAATATCATCCCTTGTCTTGTGACAATACCACTTTTTTTTTCTTTAATAACAATTATTACAATACTGACTTTTCTATATGCCAGGCTTTTAAATAAACACTTTACATGCCTTTTCTCTTAATTCTCAAGACATCTTTATGAGGGAGGCACTTCCATTAGTCTGATTACACCGAAGAGGAACTGAGGCACAGAGATATTAAATGACTTGTCAAAAAATATATGGCAAGCGGTAGGGAGAATGGGGGTGTTGAGTATTTGGAGGGTCTTAATCACTCTTAATTTTATGATGGTTACAAAAAGGAAAAGACTGTTTCTCAGTTTGGGTATGGTTTAGTTGTCAGGAATTCTCTCAACTCCAATTTTGATTCATTGAGTAGATTTGCTGAATTATTGGAATAATTGGAATTATTTCCCAGTCTTTTGGTCGTGTGACATGGTTTTTCACTCACTTCCCTAGAAAATGAAGAGGAGCACTCAGTGTGCTGTGTACCTCTTCTTGAAGTCAACTTTTTAAAACTCTAACTTTTTATTTTGTCCATGTTTTCAAGCTTACAGTAAAGTTGCAAAAAAAATAGTATTAAAAAACCCATAGATCTTTTACTCTGATGCCCTTATTGTTAACATGTGTCATTTTTTACTCTCTTCGAATATATTACACTCACAAATGTGATAATGTGATTTAAAAAAATCATTAAAAAATAAATTATAAACATTTTGACCTTTTCCCCTAAACACTTCAGTGGGTATTTCCTGACTCTAAGACTATTCTTTTTTTGTTTTTGTTTTTTGGTACCCAGAGAGGCTCTCACTGAGCTATATCTCCAGTATTTTAAATTTTTTTATTTTGAGACAGGATCTTGCTAAATTGCCCAACTTGGCGTTGAGCATGTGATCCTTCTGCCTCAGCCTCTTAAATAGCTGGGATTACAGGCATGTACCATAGTAGCAGGCTTAGGTATATTCTTTTATCTAGCTGTACTACAGTAATCAATTTTAGCAAATTTTACATTGATGCAATACTTTAATCTTTGGATGGTATCCTGATTTTGCTAATTGGCCCGATATTTTTATTCATAGCATAGGTAAAATAATTTAGTCTAGAGTCATTTTGGTGTCCCATGTGAGGGTACATTTAATTTTGCCAAGTTATATTTTTGCCATACTTGAGGAACCATGTCTGATATAGTATACATCTTAATATAGGTCACATCTGATGAAAATTAGACTTCTGATTGATTTTTCATTATCATTTTATATTTTACAGTTCCCAATAATGATTAATATGAGTCATATTAATAAAAACTAGTGACTAAAAACTAGTGAGTAATAACTACTTATGTTAAGTACATTATATACTAAGTGAATTTGACCTTTTGAAACATAGTTTAGGTTCTAGCAATCAAATCACCTAAATGATATTAATTTTAATTTGAAATGACTTAAAGGGTTGAGAATATACCTCAATGATATGCCATTTGTCTAGCATATGGAAAAACTTACTGTATAGACACACATACACACACATTTTGGTACTACTAATAAGATTACTACACAAGTATGAAACTCCAAGAAGGAAAATGAGATATTAGTGTTTAGGAGGAATGATTGATGCTGACAAATACAGAATAAAATTTTAAAGAAATAATCTGGGTGTTGTTTAAAAGGCAAGCTGTTGATTTTTTTCACTCCTGCTTGCCAAGACACATATCTATGCCTATTAAATTTGATGTTTTTACTCTGATCAATGATGGCAATTTCAAAGCATGTGTAGCATCTCAAGATCAAGCAACAAATCAATTCCAGGAAGGATTGTGAAGAACATCTGCCTGCCCTTCTTTCTTTCCTGAGAGCCTCAATGGCAAACAGGTAGCTCCTTCATGCTGGAGAAGATACAACTCTTCTTGTGGTTAATGCAACCTGTTTGTTCTCTGCACTTCCTTCCCCTTTTTCTTGGAACACAGGGCTAAAACACAACAAAACCCTACAGGCTCCTAATCATTTAAATAAACTCTGGCTACCAAAGAGCTTCCTCCTCCTCCACTAAATCTCTCATTTGGTGGTCATAGTTGAGAGCTATTGAACTTTGGTAATAATTTTTAGCATTACTCAAGTAGAAATATTTGTTTAGCAGTGTTGGTAACATTGACTCTTTGCTTTTTCCTTCCCAATTCTGTTCCTCGCTTCTTTTCATCTTGCACTTTGCTGTTTTAATATATTTAGGGTTTGAGTAAGTAGCACACAACAACTTGGAAACTTGTGTTGATGATCTACTTATGTATTCCTATATATTGCCATGTATTAAAGGACCCGGTTAAAGCCCTAAATGCCATTCCAAGGCTTTAGTAATGTATAACATAAACTGCAAAATATTGACAGCCTTTCCTCTACTTTGCATGTCATTATTTAATCTTCATGAAGATTAACTAGATTGTAGAAATCCACCTTCACGCATCCTCATCTCACCCAGTCTCTAGAATTCCAATACTATAACACCAATTTCTGCAATTGATTTCAAGAAGGTGCTTGTTAAATATTGTTGACCTGTTTTTACTTTTCCTTGTGATGTTGCTTTGTAAAGATCCGTGGGCTATTTTATTTAGATAAGGACCATAGTATATATTGGGGACTCCTGGCTGTGGCACCAAGCAGCTAAGATGGTATTTTCAAGTGGAAATGTTAAGTATGGTATAGGGAGGACCCACATTGATAGTGTCTTCCTTCTGTGGCTGGGGACACATATGTTACTCTTTTTATATATATAAATACATATATATTTTTTTTTTACTTGGGCACAACACCTTTATTTCACTTGTTTTTATTTTTATGTGATGCTGAGGATTGAACCCAGGGTCTCGAACGTGTGAGGTGAGCACTCTACCGCTGAGCCATAAGCCCAGCCCCACATATATGTTACTCTTGCAAAAGGGTTGTGGGACCTTAGATCCCTTTATCTTTCTAGGTCCACTTAAGTGATTTGTAACTACCTCATTTTGGAGACTCAATTGCCTTGACCACTTAATTTCAATGATAACCATATCCCATAGCAAATGCTTCACATACATTTTTACTTAGAAGCCCAAATATCTTCTTTTGAATCAACAGGAATTGAGACCATTGGCTTTTTAAAATTTTTTTATTTTTTCACTCATCATTTATTTACAAATACACATTATAACTTTTATATACATTGCACATTTACATGGTAGAAAAGTACAAAACTATATATTTAAATGAATTTATATTTAACTTGCCATGTTTGAAAATATAAAATTGCATCAGAAAAAAGTATTATGAAAAGCAAGAAACTTGAACTGATAAAGCTTTGATAGGACTTTCAGTGACACATTGGCTGAAAAAACTAATTTAAAAGGTACAGTCGACTAGCGTAAAGGAAACACCTAAAAGGTTGAATGTGTAGCCTTCACCTTCCTTTAGACACCCATATCACTCCATTTCTTTGGATCTGTAACATCTTAAAAGGATGTTAGAAGTCTAACATTGCTCTCACCCACTTATAAAAGTCTTCATAGGAACAAGAGAACTGAATGAAGGAATTTCCTTAAAGGTGCCTTTCCTCTGTACCTGTATTTGAGTCAGAGTTATAATGCCTTTTGGTCAGTCAAGATTCCTTGTAAACAAAACCCGAGGGATCATGTATGTACAGATCAGGCAGCAGAGAATCCAATAAATAAACATGACAGAAACTGACATGCAAGTTTGTTAAAAGTGGAAAAGAATCTAACAACAGTGAAATGAAGGGAGACAGATGAGTGAATGGATAGTAAGGAATGGACTCAAATGGTTTACAAGGGGGAAAAACAAAGCTTTTACTTTACAGGCAAGAGACCTCACAATAAATAACAACTGCTCTTCCTTTCACTGATAAACTTCTTCAAAAACAAGGTGTACAGTCAACCAGACATTTTATGTATAAATTATAAAACATGACACAGTATAAATAAATGTCTACAAGTCTCAACTATGGGCCTCATCCAGTAGACCTCACAATGACCGCCTCTCCGTGCCCAATGAGTAACAAGGTGGCCTGGGAGAGAGTTTAGGACAAATGTCCTTTAATGTATACTTTTTCCCCCCAAATAAATAAGCATACACTTATTTACAGTATGGACAATATATTTTCTTTTTTCTTTTTTTTTTTTGTTTTTTTGTTTTTGTTTGTTTTTTGCCCAAAGGCTATGTCAACACTGAACACTGGTGGAGGGTTTACCACTCTAGAATGGAAGATATAGGAAAGCTGTAGTCCTGGTCTTCATCTTCCTCCTCTTCCTCGGTGTCTTCCGAAATGGCTAGATGGGGGAATACAGGGGAGCTGTTGTTTAAATATGGACAACAACAGCGCAGAAGCAGCTCAGTGTATGTTTTCAAAGCCCTCTGATACAGCCATATTACAATGCTGCATTTTTATGTGACTTGTAGTGAGATTTTTTTTTGGCATCTGCTTATAAGTTTAATTAAAAAAACCCATAAATCTATGAAGTCAAAAACTGCAGAAAGTTCTGAAGAATCAATGGCTCAGGTTTTACGGGCAGATTCCTGAAATTAGATAAAAAGCGCTCGTGTTCTATGTATAACTGCTTTGGGTCCTTAATTCAGAGTTAGTAGAGGCAGTGGCCCCTGTGTGATAATATAAAGCTGTCGTTGGGGGGGAAAACATAACTTTTGAAGCAGTTAGTTTAGATTCAAGTGTTAATGAAGCAAACAGCAAAGCATACTACTACAGCAAAAGAATTAGGGGCAAACAACTGGAAACAGGTTTTTAGAGCAACGCAATTGATGATCATCAGGTAAGTCCTAAAAGCCAGGAAACATTGTGCGGAGAATTTTTTTCTATGGATCATTGAATTGTTGGTGAAATTTAGCAGCTACCTAAGTTACACAGAAATGGGTTTATGTGGGGAGGTTTGCGTGCTTTTCAAGTGTCCATTCCCTAGAGCTTGCCTGGGAATGCCTTAAATTGCACCAAGGTTACAAATCGCACTTACAGTTGCAAGATCCAGAGTGTTTTACTTCTAGCAGCACACCTGAGGAGCAGGCAGCCTCCTTCATGGCACATTCATTGGCATAGGTGGCATTGTCACTGGCACAGACAGGCTCATCCGACTTACTGTCAGGGCACAGCTCATCACAGAGGGAACACCGGCCTCTGCCAACCTTGAAGTCCCATAAACATTTTTTTCCACCACTGCATTGGATATCTTCACAGGACTTTGCTTCTAGGATATAATACATCTGTGATAAGTAAACTGATTGTCCCATTTCCCTTTTATTTTTCTAGTTCCCTATTAATAAATATAAACATATAATTTATATTTTATTACTTACTCATGGGGATAATGAAAATGTAATGCAAAATGATTGATAATTAAATACACACAAAGACACACACACCATGAACTACTACACCCACATGAACTACTACAGAAGTTCATGAAAACAATATTTTTCAAAACAGGATTTCACAGTTAAATATGCATCTGATTATTTCCTACAAGTGGGATCTTTTAGAAGAGCAAGAATTCCATCAACTACTGGAATCTGATAACAGATTTTAGGAACTGTTAAATAATTACTTTTTGCTTCTAGCAAGTCTAGCACTTCAAAAAATGTGCAAGATTGTGTAGTTCTAAGTTTTCTAAGATGGAATATTGTTTTCTGCTTCCTGCTGGCATTTGAATATATATGTCATTGCTTCCAGAAGACAATGGTTTCCACAAGGAATGCTGTGGTCAAAACAGTTTACCCAAACTGGGAAGTGTTGCTTGCTCTGCTGAAGCTATGCATTTGGGGAAGTCATGGACTACTCAATGGTTAAATCCACATTTTTAATAACAGAACTAGCTTTTTCAATCCTCTATTATCTCTTTTCTTTCCTTAATACCTACTGATACACTTTCCCTCATAGGCTAATCCAATGGATCTGCCCAGGAGGCAGGTGGCCTTTCTCAGGTGGCAGGCACTGGAGTAGGTTACTCCATCATTCCCACAGAGATACTGCTCAGAGGAGGTGGGCTCCGGGCAAATCCGGTTACATGTCACACAGTAGGCATTATTGGTCTGGTCCACCACACACGTGGAGCTGCCTGGGCAGTAAACATCCCGGCAGGTCTCTGAAAAAAAAAAAAAAAAAAGAAAACATTTCAATAGGCCCTTTCTAGTCCTTAGGGAGTAAGCATTTGGCAATATCAAGGAAATCATGAGAGAGAAGCCTCAGCTTTCAAAAGGTACATTGGGGGGCTCAGGAGGCTGAAGCAGGAGGATCACGAGTTCAAAGCCAGCCTCAGCAATTTAGCAAGGTGCTAAGCAACTCAGTGAGACCCTGTCTCTAATAAAATACAGAACAGGGGTAGGGATGTGGCTCAGTGGTCGAATGCCCCTGAGTTCAATCTCTAGTACCCCGCCCCTCACATACAAAAAGGTACTTTGGGAGCCTGGTAGTTTTCAAAAGGACATATATTACTCTCAGTTGGTTCCCTCAGCAAACTTAATGACCCTTTAGAAGTAAGAAAAGGACTCCTTTATTTGGTATCACTATTATCATTATTGCTATTATTGGGATCTTACTATGGGTTATCCTATTCCACAGGGGTCTTCCAGAGTGTCAACTTAAGGTAGAACACTGAAGGGAGTAGGGATCTTGTTTAAGGGTGGGACCTACTTTTACATTTGCCCTGGTACTGAACTTCCAGTTCTGGCTGCTCTTTACATCTGGCCTTGAGGAGTGCACATTCGTTGCGGTAGGTTTTGCCATCCAGCCCACAGACTGGACCCTTCCAGGTGATATTGGAACAATCTGGGGCGCAGACGCAGCGTGGTTTGTTCTTCTTGTTCATTCGGCATTTTTTCCCGGGTCCACAGTCCACATTCTCACACGTTTCTAGGAGTTGGAGAGAAGCACAGTTAGAAACCAGGGTCAGGCAGTGGCCAGGTCAGCCAGGAGGGCTGCACAAGCCTTGCGAAATCTTGCAACCCTGGTTGTGCTGGAGGGGCCCATCAAGTCCTTTCCTAGAAGACTCAGAGGGGGTTAAGGGGTGAGGACTGTGGATCTGGACCAGCCTGCATCTCAAAAAGCACATGTTGGCTGGTTTTACCACCACATGGGACCTCTGCAGACCTTGTTTTGCCTACAGCATGTAACAGGCTGGATTTGACCCAGCTAATAAGAGCTGGGGGAAAAATGGGAGAGTCCACCAACAAAGCTCTCCTAGTCCCAAACCCTAGCTAGTTAGTGCTGAAACTGAGGGTTAGACGCCCTCTACTGAGGGCTTGAAAGTTGGGAAGGAAGAGCCCTACCTTTACAGGGGATGCAGTTAGGAGCACCCCCATTGAAAATCATCCACTTGAAGAGCGTATTGTCATTCACATCCTCCTCTGTCCATGAGGTGCTAAGACGACCAGTACTGCAGCACTCCTCTTTGCTCAGTTCTGTCTTGTACAGGACCTGGCAACGGCCATTCTTGGCTTGGCGAAGCCAGCAATTCCCAGCTGTGAAGAGACAGGGGTGGGGAGGTGAATGAGTGAGCAGTGGGATAAGGGGAGGGAGTCTGCCATCGCGGGAGCAAAGAAGACCCCAGGCAGATGGGGAGGGGGCAAGCGTGGAGAGAGGGGGTGTGGTGGGGGTGGAGGAGAGAGAGAGACAGACAGACGGGGAAAAAAGCAGAAAATAAATTGAAGAGGGTGGAGAGGTGAGAAACCGGGTGAAAGGAAGCCCTGCTCACCAAGGTGGGAGGTGGGCGAGGGGGAGGGAGGGCGAGAGGGAGAAGCCAGAGCGCCCTAGCCATATCAATGTCAGTTACCAGTGACCCAGACACAACACGTGCAGCTTGCATTGACTTTTACTAGACTGTTTACTTTTATTCGTCCCATTTCATAACCTGCAGCGACTGGAAGAGCAGATTAAAAGAACCTGACAAAAACAGGATGCGACGGATGTTTTTACATGTTGGTTTCATGTAGGCGGTAAGGGAATTATTTGTGACAGGGGTTAAGAAAGTAGGAGAACGAGAGGAGAGAGAGAGAAGAGAAAGAAAGAAACAGAGACAGAGACATGCAGGGACAGATCAAGAAAAAGGCATTTGTGAAAAATGAAAGCAAAAAGCAACCCGGCCCAGCCTGGAGCTGCCCTGAGCGGCCTCGAGGCGAGGTGCAGCCCGCCCGACGGGCCGTTTTGCAATCCGTCAGACCCGTAGCATACCGCAGCCGCTTCGATCTTTCGAAATCTCCAAGGGTTGCTTTCCCTGGCGCCCACCTTCCCAGCACCCGAGGCAGCACCTCTACCCGAAAGGCGGGCAGACCACAGCAGTGCGGGACAGACGGTGAGGGGCAGTGCCCAGAATGGCAGTTTACAACGCACAAAATGTGAACTCTAAAGCTGGGAAAGTAACTCGTTAAAGGGTGGGTGCTTCTAAACCATTTCATGGTCATATATACCTACCTCGTACCTACCAAGAAATCTTTGCAAATAGTTTCTCCCCTCTTCCCTCTTTTCAATGTTCATAATTTGGGCAGGAGGACTTTTCATGAATCACCAATGCAACTTTAACAATAATTGGACCGCAAGCTGCTACTATCATTATTTTAAAAATTCTCTCCAAAGACTAATTGAGAATAAAGCAAGTCAAGTTTTAAAAGATAAACTTCAGAAATTTCCTCTTAATTTATGTCAAAATCTAAATCAGTTGTTAGGGGGTCACTATTGAACAGAAAGTTAACAGAGCAATGAGGCAAAAGGGAAAAAAAAACTGTAAAGTACTCAAAATACTTCGGGGTAATAATTTGGCCCTTTTTTTCGGGGTTGGGGGAGGGGGTAGAAAGGAGCATCCATTAAGCAGAAAACTACTTCCCTCTAAAATTTTCAGCACCCACATTTCCAAGTTTGGGCAAAGTTTCTGAAACCACGTCCTCCAGCCACGCAAGAAAATTTGGTATTTCTTCCTTATTCGCCACCCCAGGTCATTTTTTAAAAGTCACCAAAAGATGTGAGAGGAAGATAGGTCAGATTGCAAATGGGTCTATTGAAATCTCCAGGCTACTGATGCTTGCTTATTCCTCTCTTCAGAGACAACCACCAGAGATAACATCTAAAATCACCGTGGCCAGAACTTGGAGCATCTAACACTTAACTACTGAGAGACTCTAGCTCATTCCCTTTCCCTTTTTAAGGATAATCGAGCTGCAAACTCCTTTCCTAGCTCTAAAGTGTCATTGCCTTCAATTTTTTCACTTCTCTCCATCCCGGAGTCTCTTAAGTTGGTCCAACATCTTCCAAGAGCAGCGTTGTTCTGAACAGACCAAGTGGAGACGACAGAAAAGTAGAATCCCCTGCCCTTTGCCCAGCCTAGCCGGCGCATCCCCCCCTCACTCACCCTGGGCGCTGCGGTCCTCCATGAACTGGCAGAGCAGCAGCAGCAGGAGGCAAAGCCCGCCGGGCTGGTGCCTGGCGCGGACCATCCTGGGGGCAGGCGCGGGGCGAGGAGCGCGGCGGCGCTGGGAGCGGGCGCGGCGGCGGGTGGCTCGGGGAAGCGGCGCGCGTCGCAGAGGCGAGCGGCGGAGGGCGCAGCGATCCCGGCGCAGCCCCGCGCTCGCCGCCGGCCGCCCGCGCGATTCAATGGACGTCAGAAGCCGGGCGCAGCCGCGCTTTAAATCTAGACGGGGGTCTCCGCGGTTTGCGGTGGGCGGTCTCCCAGTGTGTGGGGCTGTGGGAGGGCGGCCGCGAGCGAGGGTGTACGCGGCTCCTTGGGGGTGGGGAGCTTTTAAAAGTTCAGTGTGAATCAGGTGACATTTCCCACCTCTGGAAACCCTTCCCAATTATCTGTCGGAGGTGCTCGAAATCAAAGCAGCAGGAGGGGAATCGCGGAGTTCTTATTTGCGTAGGAGCGAGAGGGAGGGGGGAAGGCGACCGGCGCGGGGGGTGGGGGCGACGCGTCGGGGGTGGGGAGTGGGGAAGAACACCCACTTCAGTCCTGCACGCCGCCGCTCGCAGGCAACGCCGGCGCGCCCGGGGTGGCGTGTGAGAGTGTGTGTGTGTGTGTGTGTGTGTGTGTGTGTGTGTTGGGGGTGGGGACGGGCGCGGCGGGGGCGCTGAAGGAGGCGGCCGGCAGAGCCGGGGGAACCTGGGAGTTTGTGCCCTCACCGCTGTCCCTCTGCTCCCCGGCTCCAGAAAGACTTTGCAAACGCCGGGAGAGCTCGGAGCTGCTGAAACATCCCGCTCCGGGTTAGGGCTAAACGCGCGGGCCTCGCGGCAGTTTCAGGCTCCCGCAGCCTGGGCGCGGGACCCGGCGAATTTTGTGTCTGAGTCTGTGCGTGCAGACTTTGCGGCCACCCCAAGTCCAGAGTTGTTGCTGAGAACCCCAGCCCTGACACCTTCCACCCTTGCGGAGACGCGGCCCTCTTTCTCCACTAGTCCGAAGCAAACAAAAATGTTTAACACCTCAGACCCGGCCTCCCCCCAGTCACAGTCACAGTCTCGCCCTCTCCCTTTCTTTTCTCCCCTTTCACTTCGCGGTGTCTGGAGTCGCAGCCCCGAGCGGGGGCGCCGACGTAGGCGGTCTGCCCCCCTCCTTCCCAGCTCCGTGACTCCCCAGTTTCTGTCCTGGGTCTCGGTCTCGTCCCAGTCTCCTTCCTCCTTCTCGTCTCTCTCTCTCTCTCTCTCTCTCTCTCTCTCTCTCTCTCTCTCTCTCTCTCTCTCTCTCTCTCTTCCCCCCCTCTCCCTCTCTCCCTCTCTCCTCTCCCTCTCTCCTCCCTCTCTCTCTCTCCCTCTCTCTCCTCGCTGAATAAAAAAGATTGCAACATCGATAATGAACTTCTGTAGCCTCAGTTTATTAAGTACAGTGCCTGGCATTCTTCGCTGAAAGTTGGCGGGTCTCTCATTTATAACATTTTTGGCACCGCTGAATGAAACTGAGGAGGCGATATTTCCTTTTATATAAAACGATTACTTCACGGAAAATGCTATATTGTTTATTCCAAAAGCTGCCTTTCTAATTTCTATTCTTTTCTCTTGTGAAGCCCGAACGACACCAGACAGCAAGTATGCAGACAAAATTCTTGGACATTCGCAGGTCACTGGGATTTGTTCTCCTACGGATTTCAAATCCGGCCCTCTTTCCCCCAGCCCCCTCCCCCCTGCCAGACCCTCCCCCAGTCCTCCTCTCGCCCTCCCACCCCCATCTTCCATCAACTCCCTCCCACCCCCTCCACAACTGCAAATAACTCAGTGATAACAGATTTTTTTCCACCAACTGCAGGAGATAGTGCTAATCTTTTAATAAAAGATCCCATTACAATGGGATCTGTCTGGACAGACTATAATAGATCCCGAAATACAGCCGTGCTAATATTAGAAGACAGTTGTTTGGGTGCCTCTCAGACGAGCCCAAGCCCCCCTTTGAAAGTGGGCATGAATCACAAAGCCCCGCGGCCGCCGCACCTGCACCGCGCGCATTCGGTGCAGCAGGCTGGTAAAAACGGGTGACCTCGCTGCCGCTTTTCGCTTTATAATTACCGTCGTGAGGACGGGAGGGGAGGGGCGCGGGCGGCCGAGGGAGGCTGGCTTTTTGCTCACTTCAGACGGCTCTGGGGGCTCCACATCCTTCTTAATCTTTCCAGATTCATTTAGTCTGTTTCTCTGTCTCTCTCACTTCTCTTCCCCTCCCATCCTTCCAGTTCTTCCCACATCTCTCCCTACTCCTTCCCCTCTTCTCTTTTCCCTCCCTCTACCCCGACTCTGCCCATACTCTCCCTCCCGTTTCTCCCTCCCCTCTTTCTTTTCCCGTCTCCTTTTCTCTTCCCTCCAATGCATTAATGTAGAGTTGTTTAGTGCCCTCTAATGGCAGACGACATTAACAATTAATAGCAAACTGTCCCCTTTGCAGGAGCCGCCACTTAATGGCATAGTTCCAAAGTTGAATTTATTTCTTCTTTATTCAGAGAGATAGATATGGTGCTTATGCAGTGATCTGCCGGAGGGAGAATTTTTTTCTATCCTTCAAAACTTTTACACCCCCCACCCCGCCGCCGCCTTGGAAAACTTAGTTAAAAGGAAGGGGGAAGCTAACAGTTATTGTTACTTGACTCCCCCCCCCCTACAAATTTTGATTTTTACTGGCAGCCAGAGTCAAACCTTCTGTTTTAACTAGATTTATCAAACCATATATCCCATGGCTGGAAATACGTTAAGCATTCTAAATGCATTAAAGATCTTAGATGGTTGATGATTGGATCTCATGTCCACCAATGGCTGTTAAAACTTTTTTTTAGGACTGAAAACATAAGTAACAGGATTTTCTATTTATCCCCCTTTAAGTGTGTGTATGTGTGTGTATGTATGTGTATGTATGTGTGTGTGTGTATATATATATATATATATATATATATATATATATATATATATATATACCCTGACTCAGGAAGGACCAAAATCAAAAGTTTTTCTTAGACTTTTTACCCTAAGATCATACAAAACTTTTATATTGTATTGTGCGCAGTTGAATAGGAAGTCATCTGGCTTAGAGGAATATGAGTTACATGTTAAGCCATAGTTTATTTTCTCAATACTTTTCAAGGAAAGATTGTTTTTTAAAGAGTATATGAAGTTTCTTTTTTTAAAAATACCCCCAAACAATGAAAATAGTGATGTACTTTCCATGTTCTTATTAGAATTAAATCTTCTTCATTTACATGTTATCTGTGGATGAAAAAAGGCCATACAAGTGGGCACAAATATTACCTTTTTTATGGGGAGGATCCTCTCTGGCTAGGTGAAATCTGGAATAGAAGCAATTTTGGGGAGTTAATCAAAGAATATTTATTTGGATATTTGAGCAAAAGTATTTAGTTTATTCAGATAATTATTTCTTTTTATGTACTTCATAGGAAAAAGTGTCATAAAACTTTCTAAATTAATTTAATCCAAGATGTATCTGCATAATTCTAAAATGGATAAAAAGTAAAAATTATATTTCTTTTATATCAAATTATCAGAGTAGTTTTTTTTTTTACCACATTGACTGCATTGATTAGTTGTTTTGGCATCATGTAATTGTCTTGGTTAGGCCAAAGCGGACAGAGTAGCTTTCATTGTAAAACAAAACAAAACAAAACAAAAAAACCACCACTCATAGGAGTCCTTTGGTACCAGAGGAAGACCCAACACAAGATTACTTCTCGCCCTAGAGAGGGTGGCCCTGCGGGTCAGGGTTGAGGTCACTGGCAAACATACTGTGGAAAACACAAGTGCTGTGTTGCTTTTACCCTTGTGAATAAGCAGCTTGGTATTTGTTTAATGATACAAGCCCATCCTGTTTTTCAGCTGCACCTTGGATAGTATTGATCTGTTTGGGAGAATGTCTGCTCCGATCGGTCACCAGGACTCTTGTCATCCCAGGTTATTTTCTGGTTATATCTGAGGAAATGAGACCCAGGTCAATACTGGTTCTATAAAGGCCTCCTGTGAGCATCAGCAAGAGATTCATCCAATTTCTGTGGTACAAATTGATACACCCGTTTGGTGACATCACAGAAAGATTTGCTATTTCTTTTACTGTTTTATCTCCTATATGTATTAATATTGGGTTGGTAGGTATCTAAATGTCAAGGGGACATTTTAAAATAAAAATGCTGTCTTTCATATTTGTCATATGCCTCCAAGTTTGATTTCTTACTTTTTTCCTTTCTGCTCTACCAAAAAAGTAAATGTAAATTATGAGAAACACAATAGGACCACTTTGTAACTGAATTTCTGGGCAGCACACAAAAAAACTTCTGTTCTCTGATTTTTTTTTTTGTCTGCTTCAAAAGATATCTTCCTTCTGAAGTTTATAAATTTATAAATTTAAAATATTAGAATTTAGCAAATGATTCATACTAGCTCCCAATATAGCTATTGAATTAATATGCAATTATTTGAGATCAGAACAGGTTAATTTCAACCCCTAAAAAGAGAATATGAAGGGAGAGGATGAGTTATGTGTAGCAAATTTGGAAGTTATGAACTGATAATTTTTACTTTTTTGACTTAAAAGTCAAACTTTTTTTTTGTGGTTCTAAGAATTGAACCCAGGACTTTGTGTATTCGAGGTAAGTACTCTATCAACTGAGCTATAACCCAAGCCCAAACTTTTTTTAAAGTTAGGTGTTTTGCAAAATAAATAAGTTTTTAAATGCAAATAATCAATTTTTATTAAATAATAGTATTTGACCATTTAAGAAGCAGGTTGAAATTAATTAAAAATCAGATTTTGTCCTTTTAAGTACAAACACAGTTAATAAGTGATGGCTGGGGAAAAGTAGTTCTGTATTGGCTGAATTATTGCAAAACTAAAAAATTGGTTAAGAAATGTGAATACATATAGGCAATGTTTATTGAAGATATGCAAACCAGAACTATTAAAAATTATAATATGTACTTTTAAATACAATATTATGAAAACAATTTTTCTTCTTTTCAGTGTTGCTTTGGTCAATCAGAGACAGCCCTTTCTGTGTAACAGCAGTATTATCTCCTTCTGTGTAACATTTGAATTGCATTATTCTCCCCTCCAATTTAAAAACTATTTTGGATTTTCAGAAGTCAGCTAAGATATGTGGCACATAGTCAATTTTAACTAACCATGTCAGCATATATAGTTCAGTATAATTAAGTAAGTAAAATAAACCTTAGTAAAAAATTCCAGTTATGCCGCAGGACAGAAATGTTATATTGGATTAATGGAAAGTTCTAATGTGTTTCAGTTCACTTTGACAATACAAATAATTCACATTTAGGTATGACTGAAAATATCAGTGTGTGACCTTTAGCACTT